TAAGAACTTTAAATTGAACAGTTAGATTGTTAAAATTTGATGTAGAACATGAGTTATTGAACGAAGTAAGTCTAGATAGACTTACTCTTATAGTAAACAAATTCCTCTCTCTCTATATATATATATATATATATATTATCTTTTTTTCTACACACTTCCATTTATTCAAATGGTCAGAAATTTGTTTTTCCATTTCTTTCCTTTAATGTTTTTCATTTATCCAATATTATCTCATAATGCCTTTATCTCTTGATTTTTTTTGTCAGCCAATTGATGCATAAATGATTTTCCAAGTAGATTCATATTGAGAAAGGGTTATGCACCATTTTGAAACAAAGTGGTGGAGCAGATTTCAATTTTTCACAAAATAATAAGAAAAAATATTCAGGATGCCTATTTAAAAACTGATCAAAATTCAGGGCATAGCTCTTCCGCTGCCTGAAAAGTTTCACTTGGGGGGTAATATAACCTTAAATCTACAATATTACGATTAGTTAGTCAAACCAGTATAGTAGGGCCTCAGAAGCTTATAGCCGTTCAGATTACCCCGAGAAAAGGATCACCGGAATGGCCTGGCTAGAGCAAAATATGAATCTGGATTAATTGACATTAATAACTCTACAACGATAACCTTTTCTGGAAGGGGCACCTTGAGACCTGGTTCAATAATACCTGCTTGAGAAAATCCGAGAGAAAAGTTAACATCTTTAATAGCAGGTTAAGCTGAAAGATGAAGTATCAAAAGCAATTAGAACCTACTTGGGGAAAGCTTTTTCCCTCCATAGAGCTCCCTTGCTAAAGGATTAGCAGCCCAATGATTGACAGCCACCCGACTCAAAGGTTGAAAACCAACAATCTTCCCCTCGCTAGAGAAAACAACCTGAATTTCAAACAAATGCAAAGGCAATAACATTACCAAATGCAGTAATAAGAGTTGCCTGACAATATTGTAAATATCTAGGCTAGGCTAGGTTTAATAAAAATCAAACATGACACCACACAATTTTTCCTCCATGTTCAGGAGACTCCAGTAGTTAATGAAATTAAATCTGAATGATTAGTCATGTCTCAACTTTGAAAAACAGCATGCAAGCCAAAGGTGAAGCTTGATAATTATAATATTCTGAAATTCTGGAGTACCTGGTAACTAGCAATGTCTTGTATGGATACTTTTGCATCTGCATCTATATTTTCTGAACTAATAGAAAGAATATCAACACCTTCACCTCTCAAGTAAGCCGGCAATTCTCCAACCCAGACACCAATACCATCTTCCACCTTAATTTCATCCGACCAACCGAAGGTGTCCTTCACCTTAGCAATAGCTAACATGCAAAACTCTTCCAACTATCCATGTGAAAATTCAAACAAGGACTTCTTAGAAAGAAACATAAGGCACCATAAACCATTAAACAAACAATAGAAATACAGCAAGAGGAATTCATTAACAAAGCAACTACTAAAAATGACCTATAGATTTTGCACAAAATAATCAGCGTTACAACTTGCAACATAGGACAAGAAGCAGTTTCAAATACAACAACCATAGGGTACAGGCCAGTGGCAAAATTTAGACAGTTTTTCAACATTATAACTTGTAGAGATCAAACCATTTCATATGAGAAGCCTTTTGCATAATGTCATCATTGTCTAAAGACAGATTTCTTGTTCAGCCAATTTTGTATGTGTGCAAACATTCAAGCCTATCCCTGAAATGTTATATTATAACCATATGGTAAAGTGTTGGCATGAAAGAATTAAGGTTCTAAAATTTTTAAGATTATACTAAGCCTTTCTATGAAGGAAATGCAATAACGCATTTTAGTGTTGTGCATTTAGCAACAAACTCCTTCACGTCTTTATTGGTGCCTGTTTTCTTAGCTTCCCTTATGCTCATCAATTTTGGAGGGACATTTGTTTGTCTGACATGCAAAAGCAAAGGCTGGCTATTTTGAACCAATATTTTCCACTCGTGTACACACACATTACATATATAGGAAAAGAGGGCCCACTAGGTGGGAACCCTATGGACCTTAGGACTAGCTACTTAACACCACTATCCAAGATTGATAACTATGATGGTGATAAGACATCTAAGATGCTAAACAAAAGACTCAATGAGGTCTACAACAAATTACCAACTAGTTCAAATCTTAATAATTGTGACAAACACAGACTCCAAATAATTTACTGCATAGTCATAGACTATTGGAAGTACGAATGAAAGAAAGGAAGCACAATAGAGCAGCATACAAGGCAAGGAGCTAGTTTAATAATAAGCCCTGTATTCATCCATTCATAAAAATGGGACACGAATTTTGCATAAATTACTTGTGAATACTCTCAACATAATAATCATAATAATTACATAAAATAATAAAAGAAAAAGGGATAGAGTGCATACCATAGTTGCATCCAAAGAGTCATGCATTCCAACAGTGACTTCAGATGATGGTAGGGATCTATGTTTTACAGAGTGTTTCCTTTCCTTGCTTAACCAAGGCAAACAAAATTGACCCATAGCACTGATTGCTACAAGAAATATACCACTTGCAAGGATGACTGACAATAATTTTGATAATGAATTCCCCTACAAAAAAATATAGAAATCCTTTAAATAATGTACTCTGTTCAACGGGCATATTAAAAATAAATTAATGGGCAAAAGATATAACTAATGAAAAAAGTCAATGAGAATTTCCCTTGTTTCCTTGTTTGTATTAGTACAAAGAAACTATATTTTTGGCATTTATCTTAACATCAACAACTAAGTTTCTACACTGTCCTTCCATTAAAAAGAAAATTTGGTCTTCCCATTTTTTTGTCCAACAGCAATGAAATCCATGAAAAAAAAAGTTTTTAGAAAAAATTATCAGAAATTAAAACACAGTGAAAAATGGCTTTGATTCTCCCATTCACATTTGGAAAATTCTACAAGTTTCAACACCATGACATTGAACAAGGAAATCATTGGAAAACTATATTACTATGTAAGATCAAAATCTTGTAAAAGCCAAACGAGAGACATTGGATTACCTTTTCATTGGATACAGTGGCAAACCTGGCAGCTACACCACAGGATAATTGCTTATCAGGTAGTGAATAAGGATCTGCATAGTACATATCTAGTATTTCTGCCAACTGAACCTGCAGTTGTTTTAAGCATATAACTGAAAGGCATTTGTTTTGTATACATGATATTGATGACAGTTATCACATGACTTCAGGTGACCCAAGTACATCCCTTCTATAGCATAGGTGTACATGCAATAAGTAAATCTAAATAAACAGGGCAATAACTAAGTATTGAACTAAAGACACCGTATAGAGACTTACAAAACATAGTCATTGGCACTTAGCAAAGGGTCCAATCAGTTTATAAAATTTTCTGCAACTGTCCAAATCTCTTATCAGAAATCTTTTAGACAATTTTGAAGTCTGAACAAGGTTCAACATAGGATTGGCCCAATAGTGAATGAGGCCTAAAGCAAACACTGAAATAAACTTTTTACTTTAAATGAGAAAGCTATATGTTGGGTCCTTTTACACCAATATATGCGGCCTTTTTGCTTTATAAAATCAAGAGTAAATATTTTTTTATTATTGCATCTAAATGCCTTAGTTCAACTGATTGTCCATGTTTCTCTTTTTTTTTTTCTTCCTATTTCAGCATGTAAATCATAAAGAATCAAATGTTGTCACAAAACTGACATGCTATTAGTTTAGGGTTTAGGGTTTCTCTGTCATTTTTTTTCTTCAATATTTAATTTTAATCCTTAGTAAATTTTTGTTTTTTGTTTGCCTATTTGTTTTCTCTTCCCAACAAATTGTTACAACTGGCTTCAACAAAAATAATTTAAAGAGAAAATTCAGATGATATTATACCTATGTTTTAATGGTTTTGAAGAGATATGCTTTAAGGATTTGCTTTGACCCTGTATAGTCCAATTAATCACCAACAATATTAGCCAACAGCACACTCTTGGGTGGTTAAGGCAGACTATCATTTGGCTATCTAACAACTTGAAGTGAGAAAGACAGGAGGCTACCCACAAATCATAAAAAAAGAATATTGAGCAAAAGGTCCTACAATCTTCTTTTCCTTCACTTTTGATAAAAACAGAGGAGAAAGATAAAGTCCACTGCTAAGTTTACTTAAATAGTTGTGCCACAATTCCCAATACAGCAATAATTGAGAATAAAAAGTAACATAAAAATACAAAGGTCAATGCAAAAGGAAAAGATAAAGTACCATTTGAGAGTGGGTCAAAAGAACTTCCCACCTATTCTCTGGAGACTTCTTCCAGCCCTCAATTTTTGCATCTCCCATTATCTTGGTGTCAATTTCTAACCGATATGCAGGTACATACTCAGTTGCCCAAGCACTGAAATCAGAACCACCAATTTTCTCTAACTTTCCATAACATGATGGCTTCCACCAATGATGCCCTGACTTAATTTTCAGGGGCTTGAACCCATCCTTCATTAAATTATAGTTATCCAAAAGACTCCTAGCATTTTCAACTATCTCATCTTCAAATAATTTGGATAATATAACTGCAGAGTCTTTTGATTGTACCCTTTCAGGCTTGCGAAACCAGTGAAAGAAACCACTTCTATTACCACCTGGGATTTTGTCAAGAAATTGTATTTGGGTGCTTTGGAGTGCAGAGATGCAAATGGCTTCAGCTAGCACAGAGATAAGATATTCATCGGACGAGCTGAGAGCAAAAGATGCAGGAACCTGCTCATATGAAATGCATAAAAAGAACTGAACGCATCAGTATCAGGCCCACCTGCAGGACAGACATTATAATATGACATTACAATTTACAAAAGTAATAGAAATATCAAAATTTGGAAAATCTGCAAAAGAAAGAAAAGGAAATGAACCTCTCTTGGTGTTTCAAGATCCTCCATCTTCCGTTCTTCTCCCGGTTGAAAGACGGTCAGGTCAAAGCTCCACATCTGCTGCAAAACTACTTGCCTAAAGGTCATAGCAAGTACATTCTTAGATTCAGAGCTGGAAAATACATCTCTAGGGAAAGATCTCCCGGTTGAAAGACGGTCAGGTCAAAGCTCCACATCTGCTGCAAAACTACTTGCCTAAAGGTCATAGCAAGTACATTCTTAGATTCAGAGCTGGAAAATACATCTCTAGGGAAAGACTTCCTGAGCTTAGCAGCTTTTTCTTTAACTTTCCTAGCAGGTAAGAACTGTCACAACAACAAACTTCGAAATTTAATCCTCAAATTGCATTGCCACAGTTTCCCACTAAAGACAACAAACAAAACTTACACCAAAAACATTTCAATACACGAACTTACAAAACACATCCCAAAATTGCAGCCTAACACATTGATAGAAGCGCACCTCAAGCATGCTCACATCACAGTTTCCTCGTTACAACATACAACATGTTTCATCCCTAATGCACTCACTTTCCCTCGCAGCTCTACGTACAAAACTAAGTAACAGAATCTAATAACAACCACATTTATCACATTATGCAGCTACCAACAATATTTCATTTTTCAATTTAGCCATGTTATATGGTACGTGCACGAAATAGAACGTGTAAAGCAGATATACAGTGTGCTTTGACAGAAATGAAATCACCGTTCATTACGGCTTTCGAAACAAAGCAGAGAACGAACCAGTCGAGTGGAGACGGTGGCGTGGTCGCTGGACGGAGCAGGGAAGACGGTTTCAACGACCATGGCGTCCATGCCGGCGTCGATGTGGTCGGAGGCAACTTGACCGCCGTCAGAGGCGGGCGCCGGCCAAGA